GTGCCAGGGTCATGTGATCCCCTTCTGACAAGTAACGTTAGCGGGGAAGCCAGATTCACTTAACAGCCGGGTTAGTAACTTATCAACTGCAGTGATTCACTTAACAACCGAGGCGAGAAAAGTCGTAAAATGGGGCAAACTCAAATGTTTCACTTAGCAACATACATTTTGGGCTTAATTGTGGTCATAACTTGTGGACTACCTGTACGACTCCCTGGCCGATCAAAATGATCCTTTCAGATCCAATTTAGGGGCATAGAAAGCGTCAATTAAAATGCCAGGAAATGACCAATCTGTTTTGCTAGCAATTCAGATAGTCCTTGATTTATGACCACAATTGAGCCCAGAGTTTCTGTTGCCTAAGTGAGAAGTTTGTCAAGCGAGTTTTTCCCCATTTTACGACTTTTCTCGCCCCAGTGGTTAAGTGAATCTGGCTTCTGCTTGTCAGGAGGACCTCGGGACACTGCAACTGTCCTTAATATGAACCAATTATCAAGCATCCTCATATAAAACACATGACCATGGGGATGTATGACCAATGGTCGTAAGTGTGAAACATGGTCATAAGTCACTTTTTTCAGTGCCGTTGTTACTTCGAGTGGTCACTAAATGAACTGCCGTAAGTCGGGGATCCCCGGTATTCTGCTGTATGTTGGCTAGAAATTAAAAAAAAAAAAAACATGGTTACATTTCCCTTTTAGAACCTATATAATTCAAAATAGACTTACTGGTTAGGTTTGAAGGTTGCATTAAGATTAAATACTTGTTTTTGGTTTGGAGACTCTATGAATCATGTCAAAGTGATTTAATAACTATGTTTTACGACTTAGCATATTATGCAACCTCATCATTAGTGATTCATTCTAGGTAACCCAGTTAGACCGAAAGGTAACTTAGTATGCTAGGCAAACCTCCAACCTTATCTTTCTTAAACTGGGTTTAACAACCTTGGCAGGAGTGGGCTGCTGGGGGTTCGCAAGGGTTCGGGAGAACCTATAGCTAAGATACTGTGCAGTTCAGAGAACCTCCAAATCCCATTCCTGGATGGCCCCGCTCACCCCGCCCCTCCCCTCCTGGGAGTCCCCACACCAGTGATGGGTTGCCCCCGGTTCGGACCGGTTCGCAAGAACCGTTAGTAAAACCGGTGGGAGGCCCCGCCCACCGCCCCGGATGTCATCGGTGATCTGCGCATGCGCAGAAGCAAGGCACACGTGCGAACTTTGCATACGCGTGCAAGCAATCCCATTGCGAACTGGTAGTAAAGGTAAGTAGAACCCCCCCTGCCCCACACGCCCCATTTTGGATGGAGGTAAGTGCAGGCTGTGCGTGGAGGCTCAGGGAGGGGAAAAAATGGGCCTACCGGAAGTTCAGGAAGGCCAGAAACGGGCCCGTTTCCGGCCTCCAGAGGGCCTCTGGAGCCTGGGGAGGCTGTTTTTGCCCTCCCGGATGCTCGAGGAAAACCTCTGGAGTCCAGGGAGGGCAAAAATGCCACCACCACCCCCGCTGTGGTGCAGGAGGCTGACTAGGCCACACCCACCACGGCCACCCAGCAACCGGGCAGAGAACCTCTTGCTAAAATTTTTGAAGTCCACCCCTGAACCTTGGCCTCCTATGAGATGTGATCATAACACTGGTCATTTCAATAAGGAGTGTCTTTTTTTGTGCTGACACCCTCTGCTTACTACTGGAACAGATAAGACCCGGATTTTACTGTTCAAATATCAGTTAATATGATAGTAAAGTAAGAAGAAATAAAAAGATTTCATACTGTAGATTGAGTAAAACATAAGAGGTTCCGTATCAGCTGACATTTCAAAGCTTGTTCTCGCGTTTTAAAAAGAAACCTTTCTTCTCCTGACCATTTAAGATAATATTTGGTAACACTTAATAGATGTGTGTATGCATGTATGTTACACCTGTACACACACAAAGAGTAGTTAGAATAGAATGACAGAGTTGGAAGGGACCTTGGAGGTCTTCTAGTCCAACCCCCTGCTTAGGCAGGAAACCCTACACCACTCCAGACAAATGGTTGTCCAACATCTTCTTAAAAACTTCCAGTGTTGGAGCATTCACAACTTCTGGAGGCAAGTTTTTCCACTGATTAATTGTTCTCACGGTCAGGAAATTTCTCCTTAGTTCTAAGTTGCTTCTCTCCTTGATTAGTTTCCACCCGTTGCTTCTTGTCCTGCCCTCAGGTGCTTTGGAGAAGAGCTTGACTCCCTCTTCTTTGGGGCAGCCCCTGAGATATTGGAAGACTGCATCATGTCTCCCCTAGTCCTTCTTTTCATCAAACTAGACATTCCCAATTCCTGCAACCGTTCTTCATATGTTTTAGCCTCCAGTCCCCTAATCATCTTGGTTGCTCTTCTCTGCACTCTTTCTAGAGTCTCTACATCTTTTTTACACCGTGGCGACCAAAAATGAATGCAGTATTCCAAGTGTGGCCTTACCAAGGCATTGTAAAGTTGATTGTTATTTTCAAAGTTAGATGGGGGGAAAGTTCTGTATACTAGTTGGAGCAACAAGTATCTAACAGTACTATTGTCTCAAAATAAAGTTTACAAACACAGAAATGTTATTGTTGGGCGTACCAGGTATACGGAATATCCAACTGCCACTTCGGAACATCTGAAAATGTCTGAGATGTTAATTTAAATAAATAAATAAGTAAATTCAGATTTCCAAATCAGAATGTTCAGATATCACCGGACTGTCATTTTATTCATTAAAAGGAATTTAATGCAACGTGTCCACGCTGGTGTAATATAATATATAAAAAAATATTAAGAAAGGTGGCTAGTGGCTGAGACGCTGGGCTTGTCGATCGAAAGGTCGGCAGTTCAGCGGTTCGAATCCCTAGTGCCGCGTAACGGGGTGAGTTCCCGTTACTTGTCCCAGCTTCTGCCAACCTAGCCGTTCGAAAGCACGTAACAAATGCAAGTAGAATAATAGGGATCACCTTTGGCGGGAAGGTAACAGCGTTCCGTGCGCCTTTGGCATTGAGTCATGCCGGCCACATGACCATGAAGACGTCTTCGGACAGCGCTGGCTCTTCGGCTTAGAAACAGAGATGAGCACTGCCACCTAGAGTCAGGAACGACTAGCACATATGTGTGAGGGGAACCTTTACCTTTACCTCATGTTATGCATATATATGTATATAGGATTGTGTGTGTGTGTTGGGTTGGTTTTTTTTTTCTTTTATACATGAGTTATTCTTTCTTTTATGAGTTATTGAGATGTATTTTGTGTTTTGGGGGGGCTGCACTAAGGGAAGCCCATCCAATCTCACTGTACACATGTTGTGCATTGACAATAAAAATTGGAATTGGATTGAATCTCTCTGACAAGATCCGAAAGAATAGAACCACGCCACAACAACGACAAGTTGACAACAACAGGCACATGCCCAAAGAAATAAAAACCACCATCGAAATACAATTGAGAGACATCGATTGAGCAGGGGGCTGGACTAGATGACTTCCGAGGTCCCTTCCATCTCTGCCCTTCTATGATTCTGTAAGGGTCTCTCCCTTGAGCAGAGGGCTGGACTAGATGACCTCCGAGGTCCCTTCCATCTCTCCCCTTCTATGATTCTGTAAGGGTCTCTCCCTTGAGCAGGGGGCTGGACTAGATGACCTCCGAGGTCCCTCCCATCTCTGCCCTTCTATGATTCTGTAAGGGTCTCTCCCTTGAGCAGGGGGCTGGACTAGATGACCTCCGAGGTCCCTCCCATCTCTGCCCTTCTATGATTCTGTAAGGGTCTCTCCCTTGAGCAGGGGGCTGGACTAGATGACCTCCGAGGTCCCTCCCATCTCTGCCCTTCTATGATTCTGTAAGGTCTCTCCCTTGAGCAGAGGGCTGGACTAGATGACCTCCGAGGTCCCTCCCATCTCTGCCCTTCTATGATTCTATGATTTTATATATATATATTTTCAAGCTTTTTCCCTGTCCTAATGTTTCCTTTTATTCGTATCCATTTCATGTATTCAAAATTATGTTTACACTTGTATCTGTTATCAAATACATGCTTGAGGAAATAAAAAAAATAAAAAAATAAAAAATAAAATAAATAAAATAAATAGAATAAATAAAATAATAAATAAACTAATAAATAAAATAAATAAAATAAATTTGGCTTTAATTTAATTTAAATAAAATAATAATAAAATAAAATAATAAATAAATAAATAAAATAAAGTAGAGGGTTCTTTTATTGAATAGCCGGAAGGCCTTTTAAAAAAAAGAAAAAGAAAAAGAAAAAACAGTTACAGAAATAACAGTCTAAAAATATACGGTATATGACATTAAAATTTAACAATGTCGAATTTCAATAAATAAAATAAAATAATAAATAAAGTAATAAATAAAATAAATAAAATAATAAATAAATAAAATAAATAGAATAAATAAAATAATAAAATAAATAAAATAAATAATAAAGTAATAAATAAATAGAATAAATAGAATAAATAGAATAGATAAAATAATAAATAAAATAAAATAAATAAAATAAAATAAAATAATAAATAAAATAAAATAAATAAAATAGATAAAATAATAATAAAATAAATAAATAAAATAAATAAAAAATAAAGTAATAAATAAAATAAATAAAATAAAATAAATAAAAAATAAAGTAATAAATAAAATAAATATAGTAGATAAAATAATAAATAAATAAAATAAATAGAATAAATAGAATAAATAAAAAGAATAAAATAATAAATGAAATAAAGTAATAAATAAAATAAATAAAATAAATAGAATAAATAAAGTAATAAATAAAATAAATAAAAAAATAAATATAGTAGATAAAATAATAAATAAAATAAAATAAATAGTATAAATAAAATAAACTCGCAGGACCAAAAAAGGAGGAGGACGACGAGGAGGAGACCAAAAAGCCCCGCCCTCTTGGCTCCTCCTTCAACCACGCCCCTCAACGAGCCCGACCAATCACCACCCGCGCCGCCTCTTATTTTTCTACCTCCTGCTCCACCCCGCCGGGCGTGAGAGGGCGGCGCCCTCGGAGGTGAGCGGACGGGGTGGGTTTGCTCTTGCTCCGCGCCTCTCCAATCCCGAGCGTGGAGCCGGAGCATGAGAGGGAGCTCCGGAGCCTTGCAAACAAGCGAGGGGAAAAACCAGCCCGGCCGGTGGGCAGCGACGGCCCGATGTCCCGCAAGGCCAACGTGGAATACACGCTGCGGAGCTTGAGCAACCTGATGGGGGAGAAGCGGCGCCGGGGGCAGCCTCCGCCTGCTGCTGCTCCTCCGCCGCCTTGCAGGCGGGAGGGCTCGGCCGGTTTGGGCGAACGGAGCTTGATCGCGGCCGCCGAGTCTTGCTCCAGCCTGAACAGCCAGGCTTCTTCTTCGGGAGGCGGCGGAGGCTGCTCGGATCTGGAGCGGGCGGCCCGCCGGCAGTTCCAGCAAGACGAGCCGGTGACTTTCGTCTACGTGGTGGCGGCTTTCTCGGCTCTGGGCGGCTTCCTCTTCGGCTACGACACCGGCGTGGTGTCCGGGGCTCTGTTGCTGCTGAAGAAGGAGCTGCGCTTGGACGCCGCCTGGCAGGAGCTGCTGGTCTCCGGCACGGTGGGCGCCGCCGCCTTGGCCGCTCTCCTGGGCGGCGTCCTGAACGGCTGGTGGGGCCGCCGCGCCTGCATCCTCCTGGCCAGCCTGGTCTTCACCGCCGGAGCCGTCCTGCTGGCCGCCGCCCCCGATAAGGAGACGCTGCTCGGGGGCCGCTTGGTGGTCGGGCTGGGCATAGGTAAGGTCGTGGGGGGTGGCGGGGGTGGGGTGGATGGGGAGCAAGAGGAGCAGCCCCCGGTTTGTGGGGGGGTGGGGATGAACCGGTTAATGATGGTGAACGAGGAACCGGTTAATAATAGTAAATAACTAACCGGTTAATAATGGTGAACAAGGAACCGGTTAATAATGGTGAGCAGTGAACCAGTCAAATGGTGAAAAATGAACCGGTTAATAATAGTAAATAACTAACCGGTTAATAATGGTGAGTAATGAACCAGTCAAATGGTGAACAGTGAACCAGTTAATGGTGAACAATGAACCAGTTAATAATAGTAAATAATTAACTAGTTAATAACGGATAACAACCAGTTAATGATGGTGAACAAGGAACTGGTTAATAATAGTAAATAACGAACCGGTTAATAATGGTGAACAATGAACCAGTTAATAACGGTGAGCAATGAACCAGTTAAATGGTGAAAAATGAACCAGTTAATAGTGAACAATGAACCAGTTAATAATAGTAAATAATCAGTTAATAGCTGATAACAACCAGTTAATGATGGTGAACAAGGAACCGGTTAATAACAGTAAATAACTAACCGGTTAATAATGGTGAACAATGAACCAGTTAATAATGGTGAGCAATGAACCAGTTAAATGGTGAAAAATGAACCTATTAATGGTGAACAATGAACCGGTTAATAATAGTAAATAATTAACCAGTTAATAATGGATAACAACCAGTTAATGATGGTGAACAATGGACCGATTAATAGTGAACAATGAACCGGTTAATAATAGTAAATAATTAGCCAGTGAATAACGGAGAACAACCAGTTAATGATGGTGAACAATGGACCGATTAATAGTGACCAATGAACTGGTTAATAGTAATGGTGAACAATGAACCTGTTAATGGTGAACAATGAACCTGTTAATGGGGAACAATGAACCGGTTAATAATAGTAAATTAACCAGTTAATAACGGATAACAACCAGTTAATGATGGTGAACAATGAACCGCTTCATAGTGAACAATGAACTGGTTAATATTAATGGTGAACAATGAACCTGTTAATGGGGAACAATGAACCAGTTAATAGTAAATAATTAACCAGTTAATAATGGTGAACAATGAATCAGTTAATAATAGTAAATAATTAGCCAGTGAATAATGAAGAACAACCAGTTAAGGATGGTGAACAATGAACCAGTTAATGGTGAACAATTAACTGGTTAATAATAGTAAATAATTAACCAGTTAATAATGGATAACAATGAACCGATTAATAATTAACTGGTTAGTGGTTAATGAACCGATTAATAATGCTTAACAATTAACCAGTTAATGGTAAATAATGAACTGGTTAATAATGGTTAACAATTAACCAGTTAAATGTTAACAACCGGTTAATAATTGTTAATGAACCAATTAACAATTGCTAACAAACCAATTAATTGAAAGCAATTAGCAATTCTTAACAATGAAGCAATTAGCAATTCTTAACAGCCAGTGGAACTGCTTGCCTCCAGAAGTTGTGGGTGCTCCATCACTGGGAGTTTTGAATAACGGACTGGGCAGCCACTTGTCTGGAATGGTGTAGGGTGCTTGTGCAAGGGGTTGGGCTAGAAGATCTCCAAAGGTCCCTTTCAACTGGATTCTGATCCTCCCCATGGCAGCTGCAGTGCTGAAATGAGGGGTGCTTGGTGCTTTTCGGTGCTTCTCTTGCAGACGTTGCCTTGCCTGGCTAGGGAACGTCATCAGTGCTAGGAGGGTGAGGGGTTTGTGTAGTAGAAGAGAAGGAGAGGAGGAGGACGACAACTTGGTGCTCTCTGAGCTTGCTTGTTTTCTTGGAGACGTTTCATTACCAAACAGGGTAACATCATCAGTGCTTGAAGGGAGTGGAGTTATATGGTATATAAATACACATGGTATATATATACTGCTTTTAAATTTTATATGTTGTGTTTTACCGTGGGTGTTCACTGCCCTGAGTCCTGTTGGAGAAGGGCGGTATACTAAATAAATAAATAAATAAATAAATAAATAAATAAATTATTTGAAAACAAATAATAAGCACCACTTTAAACTCCTAGCATTACGGATATTAATTTGAGATTAATTTTGACAATTGGAGCCATACTTGGCTGCTGATCAGCTCCCCTTTAGGATTTTGGGGTACCATAAACCTCAAAGACCCCCAGACATGAATTGGCTCCCATCGACCTTCCATCAGCCACCTACTGAGCCCCAAACATTTTTTAAACCTCCTTTTAGCCCCAAACATTGATTGACTTACGGGATAGACCAGTCAACACTTACAGGGTCAATTTTGGGGGGGGCGACTGTTTTAAGTCTCCCCCCCCCCTCCGTGTGCACTGGTGGGCCTTTTTCAGCTTTACACACCCACAAAATTGCAGTCTATTTTCTAGCCCCTTGGAGACGTAGACTCCTAGGGCTGGAAGGGGCCTTGGAGGTCATCTAATCCAGCCCCTCCCTGTCCCGAGGCAGGAGATTTTATTGCTTCCCGGACAAAGAGCTTTTCTAATCTTTTCTTGAAGACCTCCAGCGATGCAGGTTTGCCGCTGATGCGTCTTAACGTCCTTGCAGTTTTTGTGGCTATGGAAACCCGAATAAACTTTTCTTGAGATTGGTGACGGGTGGAAAGGAGAGACAGCCGACTCCCCCATCGCTTGTGTGAATGTGTAGAATTAAAACGGGAGTTCGGTGTTGTTTTCTAAAGAACCGTTCGGATTTCCCGTCCTTTTTAAATTTCCCGTTCTTCTAAAACGTGCCTGGTTTTTTCTTTTTGGCTGTCTCTCCGATTTTTCATCCGCCACGAGGGCTCATTTTAAGGAACGGAAATATAATGTGGAATAAATCACTCGGATTTGATCTTGATACCCTCGTTTTCAATTCATTTGGAAGATAGTCTTCCTCGTGTTGGTTATCCACGGTGTTTTATTTAGAATTTAAACCGCCTGTGCTCTGTGTAACATATATAGTGCTTTGAATAATCTGCTGTAGTTCTTTGAATTTCTCATGAACTAACGCAGATCACCACTTAAAATCCAGATGCTTCATTTGATACCTCGGGGAAAAATTTTAACCTCATCTAAGCAATCGGTTAACTTGTGATATGATGACCTTCACAATCAGTGTTGTAGGTACAGAAGATGCTTTATCATTTGTTTAAACTTAAATAACCGCAAATAAACATCCTTTCCATTTATTACAGTATGTCACAGCATATCCAGCAATAAGTCCTGCCCGAGCATTGTGATCTCATACCAAGTCAGAATTTTAAATGATATCCGAAAAATGGATCTTCCATTTCTTATATAAAATATTCCTTAAATGCTCTTTCTGTTCAGTTAATATTTATTCCCAAAATACCTTTTAAGAAGTTGGCCTCATAAGGTTAATTTATCAATAGGGTAGAGTTATATGCTGGGGTTTTGGGTTTTTTTTTTTTTTTTGGACTTTTATTTAATCTTTGGGTGTTTTTAATCACGTGGCACATTTCAAGCAGTCAAAACAAAAATGCACAAGTTCAGGAGAATATTTAAATTTTGCTTAATTCTGTGATTCTAATTTAATTCAATCTGGTCAATGTGATTACTGTCTTACATGCGTCTACATTATATTTTAAAAGTGGCATAAATTCTGGAAGTTTAACCTAAGGTCTTGAAAAGTGCACATAGTTGTTATACCTAAGTTTTACAATTTTGCTTTATACTGTATATATACTAAGATGGTAATAAGCACCATTATATTCAGCGAGAACTACATTATGCTATTAGAGGCTGTAACTGTTACGCTTTTCAAATAATTTAAAGAAGCTTATATTTTTTTTCCCCCTCTCTTCTATCCTAATAACAATTCAGAAAAATAGATTGGACTGAAAAAAAAATAGTGACTGGATGAATCTATAATTTATTATTTTTTTAAAGAAAAATATTGGAATAACATTTATCTGCTGATAAATGGTAGCCAAATACGTACGTAGAGGAGAATTGTCTGCTGCAGAGCCTATCCAGTAGTCCTCGATTTACGACCACCATTGAGCCCAAAATGTATGTTGTTAAGCGAGATGATTTGTTAAGTGAATTTTGTCCCATTTTATGACCTTCCTTGCCTTTCAGTCACTAAATGAACTGTTGTAAGTCGAGGACTATCTGTATGATTTTTCAGCTTCTTTGAAATCTTTTGGAAATTCGTTTTAATAAGGCTGGCCCTTTGCTTTAACTCAAGGCTGTCAGAGTATATGAATATTCATAGACTGGAATAGGTTAGCCAATGAATGGCATAGCAACAGCCAATGAGGGCTGTTTTGGAAACAGAAACTTAAGAAGTCTGGGCGTGGCTTAGCCCTGCAGCTTCTGAGTCTGTGCAGAGAAACTGAAACTAGTCTGCTCTGCTGAAATGAAACTAACTGTTCTCTCCTGCCTTGTGTTTTGCTTGTAACCGCTACTATATTGAAGAAGAATCTATATTGGGATTGTACATTTATCTTCATGCATTATATGTATATAAAGAAGTTAATGAATCCTGCTGCATCAGTTATCTGTGTGTGCTTTTCTGGATTTGATTTCTACTGCAAACTCTGATAAAGGCCTGGGCCCAGATCTGGCCCACAGGGTGCTTAGATCTGGCCCGCAAGGCTGCCCTGGAAACAGCGAAGGAACGGCCCGCAGTGCCTCTGCCAGTGAAAACGGAGTTCGGGAGAGCCGCATGCACCCCTCCCGAACTCCTGCAGAGGGTTGCAGGAGGCCGTCCCAGGCGAAAACGGAGCTCGGGAATTCCATGTTGGCTGGCAGAGCGCTCGGGCCATCACAGGCACCCCCAACACGAGTGACGCCAAGCTGGCCACGCCCACCCTGGTCATTCCTCCCAATGCCCCCCCCGGTCAAACACAATCCTGATGCAGCCCTCAATGAAATCGAGTTTGACACACCTGCTTTAAACAGTTTCCAACTTGATAATTCATAATTCCTTCTCTTGGTTCCTCTCTT